CTTGTCTGGTCTTGTTTGGTCTGATGTGGTCTTGTCTGGTATGGCCTAGTCTGGTCTTCTTTGGTCTGATCTGGTCTGGTTTGGTCTGGTCTGGTTTGGTCTGGTCTTGTCTTGGCTGGCCTAGTTTGGTTTGGTCTTGTCTGGTCTTGTTTGGTCTGGTCTGGTCTTGTCTGGTATGGCCTGGTCTGGTCTTCTTTGGTCTGATCTGGTCTGGTTTGGTCTGGTCTGGTTTGGTCTGGTCTTGTCTTGGCTGGCCTAGTTTGGTTTGGTCTTGTCTGGTCTTGTTTGGTCTGGTCTGGTCTTGTCTTGGCTGGTCTGGTCTGGTCCGGGACCTTCCTCTGGGGAAGACATCCACAGATAACAGGTAACCCAATAAAAGAAGGTTAAAACAACAGTAGGGTCAGTAGGTCTAGGGTCATCCTAGAATCTGGGTCAATTAAGTTCTTAGTCTTCTTAGTGAGCTAGCAGTGCCATCACTGAGCTAGCAGTGCCATCACTGAGCTAGCAGTGTCATCACTTACCAGACTACTAGATGTGACGGTGCCACCACTGAGCTAGCAGTGCCACCACTGAGCTAGCAGTGCCACCACTGAACTAGCAGTGCCACCACTGAGCTAGCAGTGCCACCACTGAGCTAGCAGTGCCATCACTGAGCTAGCAGTGGCTTCACCTACCAGATTACTAGATGTGACGGTGCCATCACTGAGCTAGCAGTGCCACCACTGAGCTAGCAGTGCCACCACTGAGCTAGCAGTGCCATCACCTACCAGACTACTAGATGTGACGGTGCCACCACTGAGCTAGCAGTGCCATCACCTACCAGACTACTAGATGTGACGGTGCCACCACTGAGCTAGCAGTGCCACCACTGAGCTAGCAGTGCCATCACCTACCAGATTACTAGATGTGACGGTGCCACCACTGAGCTAGCAGTGCCATCACCTACGAGATTACTAGATGTGACGGTGCCACCACTGAGCTAGCAGTGCCACCACTGAGCTAGCAGTGCCATCACTGAGCTAGCAGTGCCATCACCTACCAGATTACTAGATGTGACGGTGCCACCACTGAGCTAGCAGTGCCACCATTTAGCTAGCAGTGCCACCATTGAGCTAGCAGTGCCACCACTGAGCTAGCAGTGTCATCACCTACCAGACTACTAGATGTGACGGTGCCACCACTGAGCTAGCAGTGCCACCACTGAGCTAGCAGTGCCATCACCTACCAGATTGCTAGATGTGACGGTGCCACCACTGAGCTAGCAGTGCCATCACCTACGAGATTACTAGATGTGACGGTGCCACCACTGAGCTAGCAGTGCCACCACTGAGCTAGCAGTGCCATCACTGAGCTAGCAGTGCCATCACCTACCAGATTACTAGATGTGACGGTGCCACCACTGAGCTAGCAGTGCCACCATTTAGCTAGCAGTGCCACCATTGAGCTAGCAGTGCCACCACTGAGCTAGCAGTGCCACCACTTAGCTAGCAGTGCCACCACTGAGCTAGCAGTGCCACCACTGAGCTAGCAGTGCCACCACTTAGCTAGCAGTGCCACCACTGAGCTAGCAGTGCCACCACTGAGTTAGCAGTGCCACCACTTAGCTAGCAGTGCCACCACTGAGCTAGCAGTGCCATCACTGAGCTAGCAGTGCTATCACCTACCAGATTACTAGATGTGACGGTGCCACCACTGAGCTAGCAGTGCCACCATTTAGCTAGCAGTGCCACCATTGAGCTAGCAGTGCCACCACTGAGCTAGCAGTGCCACCACTTAGCTAGCAGTGCCACCACTTAGTTAGCAGTGCCACCACTGAGCTAGCAGTGCCACCACTTAGCTAGAAGTGCCACCACTGAGCTAGCAGTGCCACCACTGAGCTAGCAGTGCCATCACCTACCAGATTACTAGATGTGACGGTGCCACCACTGAGCTAGCAGTGTCACCACTTAGCTAGCAGTGCCACCACTCAGCTAGCAGTGCCACCACTGAGCTAGCAGTGCCACCACTGAGCTAGCAGTGCCATCGCCTCCCAGACTACTAGATATGACGGTGCCACCACTGAGCTAGCAGTGCCTCCAACTCCCAGACTACTAGATGTGACGGTGCCACCACTGAGCTAGCAGTGCCTCCAACTCCCAGACTACTAGATGTGACGGTGCCACCACTGAGCTAGCAGTGCCTCCAACTCCCAGACTACTAGATGTGACGGTGCCACCACTGAGCTAGCAGTGCCACCAACTCCCAGACTACTGGAAATGACGGTGCCACCACTGAGCTAGCAGTGCCACCAACTCCCAGACTACTGGAAATGACGGTGCTACCACTGAGCTAGCAGTGCCACCCAAATCCCAGACTACTGGAAATGACGGTTTCTACCACTGAGCTAGCAGTGCCACCAACTCCCAGACTACTGGAAATGACGGTGCTACCACTGAGCTAGCAGTGCCACCAACTCCCAGACTACTGGAAATGACGGTGCTACCACTGAGCTAGCAGTGCCACCAACTCCCAGACTACTGGAAATGACGGTGCTACCACTGAGCTAGCAGTGCCACCAACTCCCAGACTACTGGAAATGACGGTGCTACCACTGAGCTAGCAGTGCCACCAACTCCCAGACTACTGGAAATGACGGTGCCACCACTGAGCTAGCAGTGCCACCAACTCCCAGACTACTGGAAATGACGGTGCTACCACTGAGCTAGCAGTGCCACCAACTCCCAGACTACTGGAAATGACGGTGCTACCACTGAGCTAGCAGTGCCACCAACTCCCAGACTACTGGAAATGACGGTGCTACCACTGAGCTAGCAGTGCCACCAACTCCAGACTACTGGAAATGACGGTGCCACCACTGAGCTAGCAGTGCCACCAACTCCCAGACTACTGGAAAATGACGGTGCTACCACTGAGCTAGCAGTGCCACCAACTCCCAGACTACTGGAAATGACGGTGCCACCACTGAGCTAGCAGTGCCACCAACTCCCAGACTACTGGAAATGACGGTGCCACCACTGAGCTAGCAGTGCCACCACTACTGGCAACTAATCTTTAAAATTTCAGACGTTCACTACCACCACCACTACAATCACCACCACTCCTACTACCACTACCACCATTACTATTACCACTCCTACCACCACCACTATTACCATTCCTACCACCACCACTCCTACTACCACTACCACCACTATTACCACTCCTACCACCCCTACTACTACCACTACTACTACTATTACTCCTACCACCACCACTACTACTACCACTACCACCACTACTATTACCACTCCTACCACCACCACTACTACCACTACTACTATTACCACTCCTACCACCACTACTACTACCACTACCACCACTACTATTACCACTAGTGCCAACAGCACTACTACTACCACTACTACTACCACTCCTCACCACCACCACTACTACTACCACTACCACCACCACTATTACCACTCCTGCCCCCACCACTATTACTACCACCACTACTATTACCACTCCTACCACCAAGACTACTACTACCACTAACAGCACTACTTCTACCATCACCACTACTACAACTACCACCACCACTACTACTACCATTACCACCACCACCACCACCACCAGTAATACCACCACTACCACTACCCTGCGACTCGTCAGTGCTACAACAGCTGTTGTTCTGTAAGGGTATTCCTGCAAGCGTACTCCATAAGTGAATGTGGTTTCACCTAATTCTCTTCATCAATTCATGATTACTGCTGAAATTCATGATGGATGCTACACCTAGGTAGCGTGCAAGTATTGAATTTCTTAGTAAACATGCTGATTTGTGTATCAGACAGATCTCCACAAAATTTGAGCCTAGTAAAGTCAACTGCTGGTGGGAGTCTGAAGAGAGGTGACGATACTGGTGATTGTGGAGCGATGAGTCGAGGAAGATGTGCAAGAAAATGCAAGAGAACACCTCACCATGACAAGGTTATCATAAGAAATATTTCCAGCTAAGATCTACAGAGAGATTTGGCTTCAGCTGACGTAAACGATGATTCTTCAACTGTTGGACGAAGGTTCTGTGAAGTTAGCAGAACTGCCAGAAAGCCAGTAAAGAAACAATTATTGACTGCTGCTATGAAGATAAAACGGCTGCATAAGGGTTGGTTGACAGATGAATGGAGACAAGTTATATTTTCAAATGTGGAGCATTATGAAGTACATGGGTACAGATCACTGGTAGTGAAGTACATGGGTACAGATCAGTGGTAATGAGAAGAAGCAAAGGTGAACCTCTGCGGAATGGACACATTCAACAAGCGCCAAAACATCCACCTAAGAAGTTGTTTTGGGGTAGTTTTACTACTAAGACCCTAGACTGCTTGTTGCTGTTGAGGGAACTATGAACAGTAACAAATACAAGGCAATCCTGGCAACTCATTTGCTTTCCAGTGTGGATAGAGACTTTCCTTATGGAGAAGGCGTATTTCCAGCAAGATCTTACTCCATGCTACACTTCCAGAAAAATGTTGACATTCTTCGGAGTGGGCTAAGTATTCTAAATTGGCCTGGAAACTCTCTTGATCTCAGCCCACTTGAGAATCTATGGCAATAACGAAACGCAGGATTGCAAAACAGGATTGTTCAACTGTGGGGAAGCTCATTGTTATTAGGACCTGGTACCACCATGAACAACCTGCCAAAATGTGTTCAACATTGGTTGATTCTGTGCCAAACGTGTAACAATTCTTATAAAAGCAAAGAGTAGTCATATCTTATTAAATCTGTCGTATCAATGTCGTGTACTTTTAAATAAACATTAATTTTCCAGTTAATATGCAAATTACTGTAGCACCAGTAGTAGTTGTATAGACCTACTGACTACACGCAGCACCACTAGCACATGTACTGTGTAGTAACTGTATAGTGTAGCACCACTAGCACCACCTGCGTATACACAAAGGGGTTACAACATACGCCTCACATCCTCCCAAAACAATGGAGCTCAAAATAATAGTTACGTGTGTTGTTGCTGCTGCTGCTGCTGCTGGCGTTGCTGGCGTTGCTGGCGTCCTTCCTATTGTTATGCACTTGTTGGCTGTGTTGAGGCGGCTCCTGCTGTGGCTCACCTTGGTACTTGCTCAGTACCTGCTGTGTATGAGGGCGGCGCTGCTGCTGGGTTGCACTGGATTCTTGTAACTCACGGTTGCTCCCTCCTGAAGAAGTCTGCGATACACCGTGCTGGTAGAGGCTGTCAATGTTGTTTAGAGAGAGACAGTGGGTGTGGTAATCTGAAGTGTTCTCATAGGTGCTGGAGTGCTCCTTGAGTGCTATGGGGTTCTCTAGCCCACGTAGTCCAGCCGCTCGAGAGTGAGAACCCACTCTAGGTGGGAAAGTCATATCTGGCCCATGGTTATAGCGAGACTGAGTGGAATATTGTAGGCCAGGAACTTGTAGCTCTCTCACCTGCCCTCGTTCACCGTCATGCTTCTCACCATCTCCAAACTCGCTACACCTGACAGTGTGTTGTGCCTGGGAAAGATAGTTGTGCGTGGAAGGTGTGAGATGTGAGGGCGTGTCAAGGGTGCCTCCAGTTCCTTGTCTGGGATATCCGCTCAGACAAAACACCCCAGCACGTACACCTTCCCTCTGAGGTGTACACCTCTTTCCCTCAGGAGGGACCCGTCTACCTGCGGTCTCTTGCAGGTCCTCTGAAGGTATTTTACCTGCGGTCCCTTGCAGGTCCTCTGAAGGTATTTTACCTGCGGTGCCTTGCAGGTCCTCTGAAGGTATTTTACCTGCGGTGCCTTGCAGGTCCTCTGAAGGTATTCTTCTACCTGTGGTCCCTTGCGGCTCCTCCGAGGTTACTCTTCTTCGCTCGATTGCTTGCGGCTCGGGCGTACTCCGTCTCCCTCCTGCTCCTTGCGGCTCGTGGGCGGAATTGTGCATGTCTGCGTGAGTGTGGTGGTGGGTGGCTGGTGTGGGCGTGGTGTGGGCGGGGCTGGGGACGCCCGCAGCGTCACAACCACCCACTAACCCGCCATCCTGACTGCCACACTGATACACCTCATCCTCGAAGCTGAGATCCTCACTCACAGTGCTGAGAGTATCGTTGTGATCCTCGAGGTGAGCCTCCAGCCTCGCCCGCACTGTGCTCTCCGTCTCCTCACTCTCACTATCCTCACTCTCACTCCCCTCATCTTCACTTTCCGCCTCGCGGGCATCCCGCACCTCCTGTGCTATATGGGGACGAGAGTGACCATCCCCAGGCAACCGCTGTTCATTTTCACAGCCACCAGTCTCACTTTCCTTCACATCTTCACTTTCACTATGATTCACCTGCATACAGCTGTCATATTCAGTATCATCCTCTTCTGTTATGGTGTTGTGGGTGTAGCTGGGAGGAAGCAAGCATGCTCTCACCTCATATTCATCTTCAGAGGTTACATCAGAGTCCCCAGAATCACTTTCAGTGTCCGAAGATGAGGAGCCTAGCGTGGAACACGGCCTGGAGCACTTGTCACTGGGTTTCTTGCCCTGGGGGTCCAGGACATGCATGGTGGGTAGGACCTGTACCCTGGGGGCGCCCCAAGGATGGGATGACACCAGTTTCCCACCCCGTGTGAGTGAATACGAATCAGTACGAGTGATGTCCCCAGGACAGTCTTCACCAGGTGGAACCTCTGGGGGTTTCTCCACCCCTGGGTGGTGCTCACGCATGTTGATCCCCAGCCCTGACCCCCAGGAAGTCTCTATACACCCCTAACGTCACTTATACCACTAGATGGAGTGCCGGCACCCAGCATAGACGTCACACGGGCACTGACTGCTGCCCGTTGCTACCCAGGGGGAACAGCAGCACCCACACACTTCTCCCACATACACCCCCCTTTCCCCTCACCACTACCCTCGCACAAGGTAAAATATGGCTACACGCCCCTCACCACCACGCCCACAACACCCCCACCACCACCCACTCCAAATACAGGCCTTCCATAACACCTACTACCACACACATCAACCATAATTTAACATTCTTATGTATATCACTTGTATAATATAACATGTTAACCCACTGCAGTATAATATAACATGTTAACCCACTGCAGTATAATATAACATGTTAACCCACTGCAGTATAATATAACATGTTAACCCACTGCAGTATAATATAACATGTTAACCCACTGCAGTATAATATAACATGTTAACCCACTGCAGTATAATATAACATGTTAACCCACTGCAGTATAATATAACATGTTAACAATACACTGTGGCTGAGTATAACGTTAACAATACACTGTGGCTGAGTATAACATGTTAACAATACACTGTGGCTGAGTATAACATGTTAACAATACACTGTGGCTGAATATAACATGTTAACAATACACTGTGGCTGAATATAACATGTTAACAATACACTGTGGCTGAGTATAACATGTTAACAATACACTGTAGCTGAATATAACATGTTAACAATACACTGTAGCAGAATATAACATGTTAACAATACACTGTGGCTGAGTATAACATGTTAACAATACACTGTGGCTGAATATAACATGTTAACAATACACTGTGGCTGAGTATAACATGTTAACAATACACTGTGGCTGAATATAACATGTTAACAATACACTGTAGCAGAATATAACATGTTAACAATACACTGTAGCAGAATATAACATGTTAACAATACACTGTAGCAGAATATAACATGTTAACAATACACTGTAGCAGAATATAACATGTAAGGTAAAATTAAAGGTATGTTAACCCACAATCATCTCGTCACTAGTCACAATCAGTCTTGGCACCACCTTCCTAGGCCTGTAGATACACATGGCCGCTTAATGCGGTTTTAAGCCTATCTACTACACCAGTCAAGAATACTATTTAAATGCCTTAAAAAAGGGGCTCAAGTAATCTCTGTGTATATTAAACTGTGTACAGTACTGTAGAATGTTACACTGTATACAGTACGGTAGCTATGTTACACTGCACAGTACTGTAGAATGTTACACGATATACAGTACTGTAGCTATGTTACACTGTGTACAGTACTGTAGAATGTTACACTGTATACAGTACGGTAGCTATGTTACACTGTGTACAGTACTGTAGAATGTTACACTGTGTACAGTACTGTAGAATGTTACACTGTATACAGTACTGTAGCTATGTTACACTGTATACAGTACGGTAGCTATGTTACACTGTGTACAGTACTGTAGAATGTTACACTATGTACAGTACTGTAGAATGTTACACTGTATACAGTACGGTAGCTATGTTACACTGTATACAGTACTGTAGCTATGCTACACTGTGTACAGTACTGTAGAATGTTACACTGTATACAGTACGGTAGCTATGTTACACTGTGTACAGTACTGTAGCTATGTTACACTGTGTACAGTACTGTAGAATGTTACACGATATACAGTACTGTAGCTATGTTACACTGTGTACAGTACTGTAGAATGTTACACTGTGTACAGTACTGTAGCTATGTTACACTGTGTACAGTACTGTAGAATGTTACACTGTATACAGTACTGTAGCTATGTTACACTGTGTACAGTACTGTAGCTATGTTACACTGTGTACAGTACTGTAGCTATGTTACACTGTGTACAGTACTGTAGAATGTTACACTGTGTACAGTACTGTAGAATGTTACACTGTGTACAGTACTGTAGAATGTTACACTGTGTACAGTACTGTAGAATGTTACACTGTGTACAGTACTGTAGCTATGCTACACTGTGTACAGTACTGTAGAATGTTACACTGTATACAGTACGGTAGCTATGTTACACTGTGTACAGTACTGTAGCTATGTTACACTGTGTACAGTACTGTAGAATGTTACACTGTATACAGTACGGTAGCTATGTTACACTGTGTACAGTACTGTAGAATGTTACACTGTATACAGTACGGTAGCTATGTTACACTGTGTACAGTACTGTAGAATGTTACACTGTGTACAGTACTGTAGAATGTTACACTGTGTACAGTACTGTAGCTATGTTACACTGTGTACAGTACTGTAGCTATGTTACACTGTGTACAGTACTGTAGCTATGTTACACTGTGTACAGTACTGTAGCTATGTTACACTGTGTACAGTACTGTAGAATGTTACACTGTATACAGTACGGTAGCTATGTTACACTGTGTACAGTACTGTAGAATGTTACACTGTGTACAGTACTGTAGCTATGTTACACTGTGTACAGTACTGTAGAATGTTACACTGTATACAGTACGGTAGCTATGTTACACTGTGTACAGTACTGTAGCTATGTTACACTGTGTACAGTACTCTAGCTATGTTACACTGTGTACAGTACTGTAGCTATGTTACACTGTGTACAGTACTGTAGAATGTTACACTGTGTACAGTACTGTAGAATGTTACACTGTGTACAGTACTGTAGAATGTTACACTGTGTACAGTACTGTAGCTATGCTACACTGTGTACAGTACTGTAGCTATGTTACACTGTGTACAGTACTGTAGAATGTTACACTGTGTACAGTACTGTAGCTATGTTACACTGTGTACAGTACTGTAGAATGTTACACTGTGTACAGTACTGTAGCTATGCTACACTGTGTACAGTACTGTAGCTATGTTACAATGTGTACAGTACTGTAGAATGTTACACTGTATACAGTACTGTAGCTATGTTACACTGTGTACAGTACTGTAGCTATGTTACACTGTGTACAGTACTGTAGCTATGTTACACTGTGTACAGTACTGTAGAATGTTACACTGTGTACAGTACTGTAGAATGTTACACTGTGTACAGTACTGTAGAATGTTACACTGTGTACAGTACTGTAGCTATGTTACACTGTGTACAGTACTGTAGAATGTTACACTGTATACAGTACTGTAGCTATGTTACACTGTGTACAGTACTGTAGCTATGTTACACTGTATACAGTACTGTAGAATGTTACACTGTATACAGTACTGTAGAATGTTACACTGTGTACAGTACTGTAGCTATGTTACACTGTATACAGTACTGTAGCTATGTTACACTGTGTACAGTACTGTAGCTATGTTACACTGTGTACAGTACTGTAGAATGTTACACTGTGTACAGTACTGTAGAATGTTACACTGTGTACAGTACTGTAGAATGTTACACTGTGTACAGTACTGTAGCTATGTTACACTGTGTACAGTACTGTAGCTATGTTACACTGTGTACAGTACTGTAGAATGTTACACTGTATACAGTACTGTAGCTATGCTACACTGTGTACAGTACTGTAGCCATGTTACACAGTGTACAGTACTGTAGCTATGTTACACTGTGTACAGTACTGTAGCTATGTTACACTGTGTACAGTACTGTAGAATGTTACACTGTGTACAGTACTGTAGCTATGTTACACTGTGTACAGTACTGTAGAATGTTACACTGTGTACAGTACTGTAGAATGTTACACTGTGTACAGTACTGTAGCTATGTTACACTGTGTACAGTACTGTAGCTATGCTACACTGTGTACAGTACTGTAGCTATGTTACACTGTGTACAGTACTGTAGCTATATTACACTGTGTACAGTACTGTAGCTATGTTACACTGTGTACAGTACTGTAGCTATGCTACACTGTGTACAGTACTGAAGCTATGTTACACTGTACAGTACTGTAGAATGTTACACTGTATACAGTACTGTAGCTATGTTACACTGTGTACAGTACTGTAGCTATGTTACACTGTGTACAGTACTGTAGAATGTTACACTGTATACAGTACTGTAGCTATGTTACACTGTGTACAGTACTGTAGAATGTTACACTGTATACAGTACTGTAGCTATGCTACACTGTGTACAGTACTGTAGCTATGTTACACTGTGTACAGTACTGTAGCTATGTTACACTGTGTACAGTACTGTAGCTATGTTACACTGTGTACAGTACTGTAGAATGTTACACTGTGTACAGTACTGTAGAATGTTACACTGTATACAGTACTGTCGAATGTTACACTGTATACAGTACTGTAGCTATGTTACACTGTGTACAGTACTGTAGCTATGTTACACTGTGTACAGTACTGTAGCTATGTTACACTGTGTACAGTACTGTAGAATGTTACACTGTATACAGTACTGTAGAATGTTACACTGTATACAGTACTGTAGAATGTTACACTGTATACAGTACTGTAGCTATGTTACACTGTGTACAGTACTGTAGCTATGTTACACTGTGTACAGTACTGTAGCTATGTTACACTGTATACAGTACTGTAGCTATGTTACACTGTGTACAGTACTGTAGCTATGTTACACTGTATACAGTACTGTAGCTATGTTACACTGTGTACAGTACTGTAGCTATGTTACACTGTATACAGTACTGTAGCTATGTTACACTGTGTACAGTACATTAGCTATGTTACACTGTATACAGTACTGTAGCTATGTTACACTGTGTACAGTACTGTAGAATGTTGCACTGTATACAGTACTGTAGCTATGTTACACTGTGTACAGTACTGTAGCTTTGCTACACTGTGTACAGTACTGTAGAATGTTACACTGTATTCAGTACTGTAGAATGTTACACTGTGTACAGTACTGTAGCTATGCTACACTGTGTACAGTACTGTAGAATGTTACACTGTATTCAGTACTGTAGCTATGTTACACTGTGTACAGTACTGTAGCTATGTTACACTGTGTACAGTACTGTAGAATGTTACACTGTGTACAGTACTGTAGCTATGTTACACTGTGTACAGTACTGTAGAATGTTACACTGTGTACAGTACTGTAGAATGTTGCACTGTATACAGTACTGTAGCTATGTTACACTGTGTACAGTACTGTAGAATGTTACACTGTGTACAGTACTGTAGAATGTTGCACTGTATACAGTACTGTAGCTATGTTACA